CAACATTGATATGACTGACACGAGATTACGCGCCACCACCACTATTCCATTTTATGACAAATACTCCGCAGACGCAAGTTGAAGCTATGGCCTTGCAACAGACAGCCTACCGTCGCTGTCGCACAAACCACAATCTCGTGACTAGAGCAGAATATGTTGGAGCCAGGAATAACTGCAGTCACACGATAGATGCATTGAAAGAAACATAGAATGCCAAACTAAGATTGAAACTGATAGATTGTCCCAATGGTTCCGGTTCATTTTGGTCCCTCGCTGAAGCAGTCGGTAGGAGTCACAAAATGTGTATTCCCACCACTCTCCAAAACGACGGCACATTAGTAACAAAATCGCAAGAGAAAGCAAACATTTTTGCTGAGATGTTCGCATCAGCAAACTCCACTTCAGATTCCGAGGAAAGAATGCCGCCAGATATTCCACCCGTCGAAAGTCGAATACTCGGGATCGTCTTCCGTCAACGCACTATCAGACGCATTTTGCTTTCAAAACGAATAAGGCCAACGGTCCTGATGGAATTCCACCCATTCTAAACAAGTGATGTGCACCAGAATTGACACCCATTCTCTGCAAATTATTTACCATCTCGCTCAAGTCGGATATTTTTCCATCTCGCTTGAAGATAGGTAGAGTCCAAACAATCACCAAAAAAGGAAACAACAACCTGCCCAACAAATATGAGCCTATTGCGGTAGTATCTATTATCTCCAAAGGGTTGGAGAAAGCCAACATCGATATATATTATCAAATATCTGGGAAGTTCAGGAATAATTAATGATAGACAAAATGGTTTTCGCCATGGAAGATCATCTTTAGATTTACTTGCCTACGTCCAAGGGCGTCGCCAGAGAGGGGCAGGGTGGGGCAGCTGCCCCCCCCCCTACGTTTAACGCTCACCAGTCACCCTGCTATCATTGAAACGACTATTTCATTCATCACATAATCTGACCAATCACAAGCCAGAGAAAACGTGTGCTTATCGCGAAAACTAGATGTTTTCAACGATGTTACCATGGGTAGCGAAGCGAAGTCTGTCAATTTGGCAAAAAATAATGACTGTACTTGTCAGAATGAATCATTCATTCAAAATAAATGCTTCTTTGCTTCGTGAACGTGAAATAGTCCCCACTCTGTTCTGAATATATTCTCATAATTCTTCATTTCTTTGTCAAATCTATTGTGTTGCCGTACAGCCCTACCTTTCCTCCTGACTCGTGGTGTTGCTCAGCAACACAATTTCGTGAACAATGAGGCGACAGAATTATCTCGAATATTAAGAATATCGTGATATTACTTATGATAACGCTCACTTTGAGCAAAGAACTTCCGAAAGTATATTTTTCTCCTGAAGTTGAGAAGGCTCTGAAGATCCTTGTTGCCTTTACCTTGTAAGATTTGTACAGTTGAAAGGTCATTTAGTAGCCTTAGGAGAATCAAAACCTGGTTGAGGAGCACCATGATGTATGATGCTCGACTCAATGGCCTCGCAATGATGAGTATACACAGGCAACATATTTTCAAAAACTTGAACGATTTCGTCTAAAAGTGACCAACGAATTCCCAAAGAACCCTAGAAGATTATTTTTCAACTGATTTACTGTATAGATTTTTTTCTGCTTTTTTATTTTCTCATTAAACTCTTTCTATTTGATTTTTCTCTTCAGTTTTTTTATGATGCCCCCCCCCCTATTGTTTCCGCTGGCGACGCCCTTGCCTACGTCACTCATATATGGCAAGCTCCATTAGAAAAACATAGAGAATCTCTAGTGTGCCGTTTTGGATATATCGAAGGCATTCGACCGTGTTTGGGAATAAGGAATCCTCCACAAACTACTATCATGCGGCTTACCACCTCAGCTATGATCTTTTGTACAGTTTTCTATCAGGCAGATCGCTCCATGTGGTGGTGTACGGAGTATCAAATGCTAGATCTCATAACTTAGAGATCCAGCAGAGTGGTTTACTTGTAGTACCACTCTGTAGCGTATAGACGTAAGGGTCCTTACGTGTGACTATAGAAAGCAGCACCATACAGTGTGTGTCGCGATCTCTGGATCCTACCTTAGAGCTTTGCCACTAGATGGCTACAACACTATAACTTCATGTTGTTCAATTTTGGCACCAACATTGTTCCTACTTCATATCATTGATGTATTGGGAGTAACCACATGCCGCGTCCACAGTTTTACAGATGATAGTTAGTACTCTCCATACTTCCAGAATTATCAGTCTTAAGAAACTTATAACTCACGACGAAGGCAGAATCCCTGATATAGCAATGTCTGGTACTATCATCTAGTACCATCATCACCACCAAGTCCACTATATCTATGCTCAGTATCTCCATCAGCAATACTCTTTCATGGTCAAATTATGTCAGAGCGATCGCCAAAGCTGTATCTTGTAGTTCATATTATTATTAGAATAACCCTCTGGCAGAATGAAACAGAGGACTAATCTGGGTGTCACTAAAGCGAAAAATAGCAGACAATGAGAAATTAGACGACGACAGATACTGAAGTGCTAAAAGACCCAGCCGAGCACCTGTAGAATAAGGGTGGATTCTAGAAAAAACACATCACTGGGAAAATATTCCAGGATACAGATACGGGAAGAAATACCAAAGAATTGCTACTGATTCTGAATAGTAGATAACTGATAGCTATAAAATGCGCTAGTCGAAGAACACTTGAGCAAAATGGCACTGTAAAATGATGATAAAACTATAGATTTCAAAAGACAGTCAATATTTTGGGTGGCACCCTGTGAAGAACTTGTACATGGCACGATCATAATGGATTGGTTCCAGTAAAGATGCAAGATACCATGGGTGGCCACGGTCAGATGATACTAAAAAAGACTAGAATCATTAGTGACGTATACCAAACATAAGTTTTTGGGGTCTCACACTACCACGGTCTTTCGTAGTGTCCATACAAGATTTCAACCAATCCAAAAAACGGCATGATGAATCTGCCGGCGCTAGAATAACACTGAACTAAACAGGCGCAAAATTAGTTTGCAACAAAGAAAATAGCAAACATAGAACCCAAGGAGTCGGAAATGAAGAAAGGTGAATGTAGTTAGGTATGGGCACTTATAGAGGATCGTACAGTTTTTTTTTTCGGCAATTGGAATAGCGCTCTATTCCGATTTCATGTTAGTGATTTGCACGCTTGAGTTCAACATTGCTATTATAAAAATTACCGAAAATATTAACCTCCTATTGGACTGAAAAACTCACCTGCAATGAGGGCATTGGGATCTCTGTTCGGTGAGCCATCTCCTTATGCAGACATAACAGCAGAGCTTAGAACAGTGTGGACATAGATGGGCATCTCTTAACTTTTCCATACAAATAAAACACCTAAAAACTTCAGACAATGTACATTCTGAATTTGTGTTGTAACATTCCATGATTTTGAAGTGATATAGACTGAAGAATATCGAGAATTAAAAATATTTATGTCGTTTTGACAAGTTTTTTCTGACATCAAGTTTTGATTAAATCTCCATTCAATGTTGCACCTACATGGTGAGCGCAAAAATTTGCAATAATTGATTTAGCATTATTTGGGAAATCATTCATAACTTCATAATAATCTTTGAGTTTTCTTTTTCTCAATGGACCAGCGTAGGTAGGTTACTTTTTTTCTAAATCATACAATTCTTTGATTGTATTAGGCGGGTGATGGCTGGTAATATTTCGCACACGAATAAGCATGGAATCACTAGTCTAGTTGAAATAAAGGAAATCTACAAATATCTACAGTATATTTCAGTTAAGAATGAAGTAGATGACGATGACATACCTAAATAGCAGAGCCCGCTTCGCACAAGTGAACTCGCAAACTATACAAATGTTTGAGGAAGATTGCAGAGATTATAGTGGTGAACCAATTATATATTCCTGTAGCTATCAGAAGTACATGATGCAGAATACATTGACGATACAGAATAACACAATTATGATATTTATGGTCGAAATTGAGGTTTCAATATCTTATAGTGTTTTTGGCTAGTGGACAGGTGACCGCTGACTATGAATGCCAATGATAAATCGAATCCGCGTGTCTTGCTATGATTGTAATTAAACCACAAGATGAATGATACAGTAGAACCATAAATAAAACTTTGATAGTCGACAAGTCAACTACCTCAAACTTTTATTTAGAACTGTTCATAGTAACCCGACCTATCAACACTTTCATCGTTGATGATCAATAACGATATCGCTAGTGTGAAATGTGAATTTGTGTGGCGTCCAGACCAATGATTAGCGAGATTAAAAATCCATATCATACTATACGCTATATTCTTAAGTGGAATTTACTATTTTCAGATATGGCTTGATTTGTACTCGTTTACCCGACATTGGAAATACATTTATACAGAAACATTTTCTATGGGATTCGAAAATAAAAAAACATGCAAGTTGCATATAGTTAAATAGGCTGATTCTTGTTAAGACATGGTTGAGACAGAGATGTTGAGATAACAGAGATACCTACCTAAGAACTATTGCGAGTAATTACTAAACTGACAAAATTTATTAGCAATTGAGACAAATAATTATCTAACAATTGATGATGATTTTGATAATGGAGGGATGAATTCATGTGAATGTAAACTTAGTTTCCCATTTTTGTTAATCACTGGGTTTGCCTAGTATCCTTTCAAAAACCCAAGGATGTTCTCATATATTTTTGTAAGGGGAAGAAAAACAATGAATCATTAACTGGCAAAATTTATAGGGAATTGAGACAAATAATTGTTTAACAATTGATGATGATTTTGATAATGGAGGGATGAATTCATGTGAATGTAAACTTTGTTTCCTATTTTTGTTAACCACTAGGTTTGCCTAGTATCCTTTAAATGAAAGAACCCCAAGATGTTCTCATATATTTTTGAAAGGGGAGGAAAAATAATGAATCAGTTACTTGCTCTTTCAATCTGAGGGAATATTATTGTTATTATTCCAGGTCTACCGCTGTCTCTTCTCATCGGAATGAGATATGGTAAACACCTATGCCGAAAATTCAAGAAACCTTTCATGCCAATCCATCATATGGAAGCACATGCTTTGACAGCTAGAATGCATGACCCAACAGTACAATTTCCATTTCTTGTTCTGCTAATCAGTGGGGGTCATTGTTTGTTAGCGGTTGCTGTTAAAGTTGACAAATTCTTGCTTCTAGGAGAAAGTATAGATGATGCCCCAGGAGAAGCTTTTGATAAGGTAGATGATGAAGAAGACCATAAATGCTGTTTCGAGCGCTAGTATTTCTTTAAGCCTTTATAGTATCATCCATACTAATTTGACATATAATGTATTACAAGATGTCCCAGAAGAACATAGCATAAATTCTACAGAGTGAACTAGAGACCAAATTAGGCCAATTTAAATCAACTTACTTTAGAAAAGGCACCGTTGAGCCCTGAGAGGGCGATGAAGAGAAATTTTATTCCCAGATTTTCATTAATATTTCGAAATCCTTGAAAGGTACTGTTCTGAAATTCGTAGGGCAATTTACTATAGTGAATGTGCATGGAAAACGTATCGTACCAATTTAATAAATTTACAGGGAGTTAGATATTCCGCATTCTATTCGATAAAAATTAATGTAACTTTTTTGGACGGCACTGACCATATTTTGATATTTCGATGGATGAAAAAATATCAACTGCAGTGTTTTTTATATCTTTTCATTTCGAGGTAACTAACAAAATTCATTTTGGTGCTCCTTGACTATTATCATGTTTTGCAAGTTTTTGCCCCATTTGTGTTGAGTTTTGACCACAATAATCATGTTTATAAACTACTTCAGCATATTGTGATATCGTTGTAGGTCATCTTCAAATTTTTTTCATGTACATTCACTATAGTACATTTCCCTACGAATTTCAGAGCAGTACCTTTCTGTTGATCAATTGTTTTATAAAACATCAACAATATTCATAAGAAATCATTTACAAAACTATAATCATGAAAAACATAAATATGACACCAAAAATAAAATTGATGGTTGGATATCAACTGGACAGGAGGTAGGTATTGGAATTTTTTTTAACTTCTGGAGATTATGTGTTGTTAGGAATACTTCCTCAGGCAATGAATTCCAGAGCCTAGCCGTTCTATTGATGAAGGAGTTTTGATAAAGTGCTGTTCGACATCTTTCGAGGTTGACTACGAAAGGATGTGCTGAGTGGGCTTGTGAAGTTCATCTTGACTGGTATTGCTAGTGATGGGATGATAGCAGAGATTTCCGAAGAACATTTCCCGTGGAAGTATCGATAGAAAAGTGAAAGGTCGCCGACCTCTCTACGGTGTTCCAATGATGTCAAAGAGTGAGTGAGTGTGGTGTCACCCACCAAGCGGATGACTCTTCTCTGGATGAAATCTAAGAGCATCAGCGTATGTTTTGGTGCTGAACCCCATATGTGGGAACAGTATTCTACAGGCCGTATCTGCGCTTTGTAGACCATGAGAAGCTGTTGAGGTGTATAGTAGCTTTTCGCACGGAACACGAATCCGAGTTTTTGTGAAGCAGCTTTTGCGATGGATCTGACATGATTATCCCATGAAAGAGTGTTGCTGATGGAAATACCGAGCATAGATATGGTGGGCTTGGTGGGGATGGTGGTGCCAGACATTACAATATCGGGCATACTGAATTCCGCCTTTCTGGAGAAAATACAGGCTTGAGTTTTGGTGGCGTTGAATTCAACTAGGTTGTTGGTTCCCCAGGCTGTGTATCCAGCAAGGTCTTCATCGACAGCATTGACCTGCCTGCGCCGTGAGTTCTTAGTTTCCTGGGAAGAAATGGAAATTCTGGAAGAGAACGCAGTATGGAGGATACTATCATCTGCAAAGCTGTGGATGGGGCAAGTTGTTACTGCCAACAGATCATTGATATGAAGAAAGAATAATGTTGATGCCAAAATTGAACCTTGTGGAACGCCGGAAGTGATGCCAATGGTATCAGACGATACACCGTCCACCACCACGTGAAGCGATCTGCCTGAAAGAAAACTCGATAAGAGATGGCATAGCTGAGGTGGTAAGCCGTATGATGGTAGTTTGTGGAGGAGTCCTTCGTGCCAAACACGGTCGAATGCTTTCGATATGTCCAACGCGACAGCTAGAGATTCCCTGTGTTTTTCTAATGAAGCTTGCCATAAATGGGTAACGTAGGCAAGTAGATCTCAAGTAGATCTTCGGTGGCAAAAGCCGTATTGTCTATCAACATTGAGTTAATGGTGCCATCAGGTTCAGAAATTTCTACTCTGTTTACTGACATAATATGTTATATGTGTAGAAATATTGTATTCCGAAATGACCGAAATGGATAAAATTAATTTTTGTTATGTGCAACTAGCTATGTGCCAAGCCCTTCACGTTGTAGATATCCACTAATTTGGCAATGATAAGTCGAATAAACAGTCTCCTGTAAATTTGTATTCAAAGCACATAGCAGGAATTTCTTAATCCACATATAGGCCTAATATTTTGCTATCTACAATATCAAATTCTACAACAAATCCAAAGACCAAAGACGTTCATTTCAAATTACCGGAATGATTCAGTTGAATGGAAAATTGAATGAGAAATATATTTTCAGGTGGCGAGAAGAATGAAACTGAAAAATCTTCCGGAATATTCTCAGTTATCTGGTGGGCAGGCTTTAGAACTAGCTGCTTCAAAAGCAAACGACCCCTTGCATTATAAGTTAACTATTCCAATGTTACAGTATAAAAATTGTAATTTCAGTTTCGCAGGCATCAAAAGTCAACTGCTGTACCAAGTTATTAGAGAAGAAAAATCAAAAGGTACAAGATGGTAAGATATGACTCAACTTTTATCATTCTATTATCATGCAAAATTAGAAACACATGAATGATGGGCAAGTAAACAGATGCATGAAAATAGTTTAAATTTGCATAAGTATAACATATTTTTCCTTATTATATTTACTTTTGAAGTCTAATAAGTTGTTAAAATATAAGTTTGTAAGGGTGAATCGAATTCGAGGAGTACCATTGGGATCTCTCGAAGCTCAAGAGATAGATAAAATGCCGTCTTGATATTTTAGTTATCCAGAAGGAAAGAAAATTTCGAAAAAATTTTATTTTCTATAAATGAATGACAGTTCATTGCTACTTTTTCCTACTGAAAGATGACGTTGACACATTTGGAAACCGGCCACCATCACCAACCTCATTTTCTTGAATACGGCATTGGACTCCATTGTGTATTTTGTTGACTTCATCGACCTCATTTTCGTGAATACGGCTCTGAACTCTATTCTTGTATTTACTTGTATAAAAACCATAGAAAACATTTTAAGACATGAGAAAAACAAACATTTTTTTCTGTGACGGGAAAATGTTTGACATTTCATCTCTGTTGACAAGTTATAAAATGTCACCTTTCATAAATTACTTTTTTATACACATATACACTGTTGATGGCTTTTGTTCTGCTAGTTCAGAAAAATAAGCCAATAACACCGTCTCTGGGAAAAAACTGCAAGTCCTTTTACCATGCATATTCCACTTTGCTGTTACGTAAATTACTAAACAACCAACAAGTTGACAGATATTTGATTACTTCAAAAGAATGATAAAGATGCCTACAACGCAGGTGTAATTCCTGTTAATAACTTCAAATTTCACATCGATAATTTTCTGATTTTAATATAATGTGATGTCTTCTCAATATTGATTCGTCCTTTTTCCTGTCAGAAGAATTGTATTGACTGATCACATATAGGTAATTACCTACTATGTGTGAAATATACGCCAACATTTTGGAATTCAAATAAGGTAATAATAATAGGACTGAGTTACTTAGTGACTTGACATAAAAATATGAAAGTTGGTATACGGGGGTTATCAGTAGTGCCGGATCTGAAAATGATATTCGCAACGTTGCCGGATCTACAGTTTTCCTATGGATCCCTCAACTTTATTTTTTCAAATGTAATATGCTATATATATTTTCAAGGCTTTCGATTTGTCATGTTTGAGTTGAAACTCGTTAATCTCAGGGGTGCTTTTGGGTTACAGGTGTCCTCAATAAGAGAGTACTCGAGACGTTCCCAGATTTGTATAAACTTTATTTGGTGTACGTAGCAGACAATTTGTGTTTTAACAAACTGTAAATGAAAAACATTATAGCGAAGGTATAGCACAAAATATTAACAGGCGGGTAAAGCGGCCACATAAGAAACAGACTCCACGAACATTTTCAAGACTAAAATACATTTTTAACAAAGATATAAAAAACACGTTCACCTACGTAAAAAAAAATGTTCCCCAACCACCCGCTCGGGGTGTCCGGATTCATTCTGACAAGCCATGTTAGCCATGTAAAACACGACCCCGTATAATGGCGGTATTTCACAACAAAATTGGACAAATATGGTAATATTAGTTTTCCTTACCTGTAAATGAGACCAGCCGACACTTTGATCACTTATTGAAGAGTTTAAATGCACAACATAGGCTCTCTAGAATAGCAGAGTGCAAAAATCAAAAATTATCAGTATTGCATATGTTACTTCTCTGGTGGTTTAAAATAGAAGAAGCTAGTCTGATGCATTCACTCACTGCGATAAGGATTCCTGATGAAACAAAAGAACGAAAGAAGTGGTTCCTACCAAAATATTAGTTTTAATTATCTACCGAAACGGTACCGGGTGCGCCATCTTCCGACGGGTGAAGGGATCAAGGGATGACTGTAAGCACTCGAGGAAGCGTCCTTCTCCGAGGCGCGCGGAATATGCACGAAATCGTGGCACAGAGACCTGTTTTGCCACATGTTCAAATTACTATGACCCTATAATATCATAATTATTTCAATTCGCCTAATTTTTGTTAATATGGCAATTCAACATTTCGTCGAAAAATATCACCAAATTTCAATATCTCGAGAAATCGTAGCGTTATGACAATGAAAATCAATTTATTAGAAATTTGTTGGCAAGTCTCATCTAAAAATATCATTTACAACGTTGTCAAATTTACATGTTATTTTCACGAAATCTTCCTAAGTATTTATTTAAACTTCTTCACTCAACAAGAAAACCATTTTATCTTGATAATAAACAGATGGTTGACAACAATAACAATGAAAGTTGATTAGCTATTTCCAAAGGCCACTTTATACATCTTGATTCTAACAATATTTATTAAAGTTCTGTTATTATCGGTTGAGAAAGTACATAACGTACGAAT